TGTGTGTGGTTAATATTAATGGATTGACGTAGAATACTGACGATGATTTGGACTTAAATACATGCTTTTTCCTTAAGATCCATGACGCCATAGATAATAATATACATCAAATCACGTCAAACTAAAGTGAAATATTATCAATAATACCTGATCGTACAAGATTATAAAAACTAATGTATACTGTCAGTAATACTGATCAGTAATACTGACTCAGTATTATTGACCGTATAGAGAGGCCTTAAGGGCTTTCAAGTCTTATTGATAAGCGCTATAAATAGCATGTATCCAATCGAACCATGTTCAATCGTGTGCAAAGTAACGACAAAAGTAACTGTAAATTTCGTTACCGTTACCCAAAAAATGTAACTCGTTACCGTTACAGTTACCAAAAAAAGAAAGTAACGCAGTTACCAGTAAAGTTACCAAAAAAGTAACTTGTAACTGTAACTTCGTTACAAGTAACGAGTTACTTCCATTCCCTGGTATAAATACATTTTTAAATAAATTTATACTTGCATCGCCTGTATCGCGTTTTCCGATGCAGGAGATGCAAACTGTTTTGAGAGAACCCCTCTGCATACGCATCAGTGGTGGAAGACTCGATTTTCCACGGCATGCCTCGTTCGCCGCGATTAAGATTGTCACATGGTGGGAAGCAGACTTCACGGCCGCTTTTAAGCGCGCTTCCGGTTTGAGCTCCTCCGGGAATGAAAGCGCGTCCAGCATCGATAGTGAAGAAGGTGTCATTAAACGAATCCAGCCGTCCGATTTTATCATGCTCGTTGTCGACACCGCCGAACAATTGTTAGGTACACTTTCCTTCTCCCGGTGATAAGAAATATAAATAAATGTTTTAATATTTGTGTGTGTGAAATAATTATAGAAAAAGATAAAAAGAGTTTGCAAAAGAAAATTTAAAAAAGTAGTTTTAAAAAACAAGGAGCAATTAATTATAAATTTGATATTTTCTTTACATTTAATTGCATTCATAATACAAATTTTATGGTTTTTTTTCATAAGAGCTAAATAGTTTTTTTTTTATATTATTATTATTAAATTTCGACATAATTGGAACATAATTGTATTTATGATATTTATGCCGCGTGTATTTGATGTGTTTTATTATGAATAGTTACGATAAATGTAAGTGCGACTGCATAAATGTATTTATCTCAATTAATTCAGAAAATATAAGGAGGTGCATGAAGATGATAGATATGTGCTAAAAAAAATAAGAGAAAAAATATCCACTATCAGATTGTAAAAAGCACTGGACTAAAATTTAATTAATTATAAATAAAAATTATGTTATGCACAGTTATAAATGCTTACATTATATGTAACTTAATTCTTTAAATATTTTTCATATTATACGACACATAAAATTATAAATAGAATTTTACCCTAAATTCTAAATAAATTAAAAATTATTTAAAATAATCTATTTTTACAAGAATTTTCTTGCAGTATATAAAAATATCAGAATTTAATAACACATAGATATATATAAAAAAGTCGATACATTGCAAAATATATAAAAAATATAATAAGAATATATTCTTATAAAAATTTATTTTTAGCAAAAAGACATTAAAATTGCTAATATTTGTGTTATTATTCTAATAATTAGCATTGCTTAAATGACAAATAATTTACCTTTAAAAATTGTTATAAATAATATGAAAAATATATATTTTGCTCTGGATGTTTAATTCCCTAAAAAAATTTTGTTAAAGATTGACGTTAAAGTATAAAAAACAAAAAAAAACAGAGGTCACTAGCGTATTATTTAATTAACTTAGTATCGAATTTTTTGGGGAGAAATGTTAACATTGAGTTACAAAATACTTATCCATGTCGTTACATATGTCATTTCAATGTAAAATGACAAATAATATCAGCTTGTTTTTTAACTACGTACTCCGTAATTCATCGCGTTGGATTAAATTTTTACTAAAGAAATTTGACATTAAGTTAATTGAATAAATCATCTCTGCAATGAAGTTGCGTTTATGTTTTGAATAATTTTTTTATAATGACAATTTGGACTTGGATTGAAATATTTGAACAGAACAAATGATACAATATTATATCATTTGTTGATAAAACTTTCATTTTTTAGAACATTTACATACATTAATACAAGAATCTTTGGATCACGCTGATCTCACTGTACTCACCGCAACTTTAGGTGCAGCAGCATTGGTACGTAATTGCTTGTGGTGTTACAATCAACATGCGAAAGGAACAATCTCTTCTCAATCAAGGTGATTTACATTACAAAACATTTGTTTTATTTTGTAGTTCTTTTATCTTAATTTATTGTATACATCGCAAAATTTTTTTCCAAGGACTGTTGCATAAAATAGATTTTAGATAGTTTTTCCAGTCACATAAAAATTAACATTTTGACGTTAACAATATGACATTTTTTTATCATTTGTCACGTGTTATAAAGTCTATAATCTGGCATATAAAAATTAAAATATTGATTCCGCGACACTATAAATGAATATATGTATGACAGTAATAGCGTAGGTAGAAATAAAAAAATATTTTATTTTATAGTGATGATATAAAAAATAATATCAATAAAAAAAAAAAGCATTTAATTTAATATTTTAATTCTTAAAATTAACGCATATTTTTTATTTCTAATTGTGAACACTATTATAAATTAAAAAAATGTTACACTTTCTCTTTTTTTATTTTTTTGTTTAAAATTCAATGCGAAACTAACCTTAATAGCTTTCAATACTTTTAGTACTTTTATACACGATTTTGTTCGATTCTTATTATTATCGCTTTTTCTCCCAATAGCGAAAAGATTAATAAATCTTATAAAGCATTTCACGAAATGGCCGAAGCTGTGGCAGAAAGATTGCTCGATCTGCATTGTCGATTAATTTCCTTATACATTCTTAATGAGGCGGATTCTCTCAGTTGGCATAGCAACAAACCATTCTTCGAAAAAGAACGATGCTCTTATGTTATACAAATGTGGTGGCTGTATATGCAAGGTAAAGCTAGCACAACTCGCATTTTTCATGATATAATTTCTTTTGATATTTCATGAAGGTAGATTTATGATGTTCTGTGAGATAACGTTTTGCAAAAACGACATGTTAATATTTCTAGGTACTAAGGCGGATTTATGGAACACAGTTTCGCCTAAGATGGCACAGCGCGTATTTTCAGAGATGCTAAATGAGTCTCTGTCTATCATAACTACGCGATTCATTCACGTAAGACCGCGAGATATCCCACGACTAGTTCCGATTAATCATCCAATTTGTTTCGTGTTCATTTATCTCCATCGAATGTTTTATTGTTATCTCTCGTAGTAAGCCACCAACGCGAATTTTACGTTCGACCAAATGTGAAATCAATTTATGTTCATTTCTGCTCTTTTCCATGATTTATTTATTTATATATTATGCATTCGTCCGCGATTTATTGAAGTACAATGTTTGAGTATTGTCTGTGTAAGTATAAGCTGATATATATGGGAATATTAAAGATAAAAATGAAATTTTGTGACAGGGACGACCGACACTGGCGCGATCCGAACAATTTTGGTCGGACGCCTTTAATGCACTTTGCTGTACGGGCTATCTCGCTTTAGGCGCGTGTGGTGATAGCGATGCAATGATTGGTGCGCGTCCGCATAAATTGCCGATAGCAATAAGAGATATACACGCAAAATGTAATGAACTATTAATCTGCTTGCTGCTTAGAGGCACTCCTCTCAAAGAATTGTATCAGGTATTTCTGAATGTTTTAACGTATTATATAATGTTGGATATTTGGAACTGTTTTAATAAGCTGGATAAAAATAAAATTATATTTTCGCTATTTTCATCGAATAAATTTATTAAATAAATTTATAATTAAAGTAACGTGTATCGACGTTATTAAAATTGTACAAAATTTTACATAAAAAGAGAAATATTGTTTATTTATTGAAACTTTTTAATGTGTGATAAGGAAAGTATTTTTTTTATTTTTAACAACTGCTTTTAATAATTGTTATTTAGGTCTTCCGACATGGATTAGAAAATTTGGCGATACTGCGGCCTCGACGCGGTCCTGCACCTTGGTTACTAATATGCGCCCCAAATTTATTAGGATTAGATAATATTAATCCAGCTGACATTATAAAATTACCCGCTGATAAAGCTGTCATTCTTGAGTTGAATGTTTTGAGGCATCAGCCTCAACCTAATTGGCCTCAATTGATGAAGGTGATTACTGATACGATCTACTAACGAAACTATTCATTTTGTTAATTCTACGAAACTTCTCTTCGCAGGTGATATCGATGAGCAATTACGTTGTGGCAAAGATGTTGCTGAAGACTTTAGTATCTCAAAACATGGGCGTTACGTGCGTGGACGACAGTGACGCAGTTGGAAAATCGAAGAAGAATGAAAAAAGTTGTAGCGGCTTTTTATGCAGTAGTTCGGCGTGTGACAAAACGCTAAAAATAACTTCGTCTCTTACATTATACAGCTTATTTCACGTATTGGTGGTAACTGTTAACAAACCGGAGCATGTAATTGTACCAGCGCTAAAGCAAGATCCGAATTGGTCCAATTATTTGGACAGACTGCAGGTCATATGCTTTTACGAAATGTTGTTTGAAGAGTTAATTGTAGAAATTTATTATTATATAGTTCTTATTTAATACAGTTTGCATAATATTTATGGATGAATTTAATATGACAAGAATTTTTCTTTCAATTTATTTGATTTCTATTTTAACGAAGACAGAAATTATTTAATATATGTAATATGTAAAAAATAATATAAAATTAAAATATTTTAAAAGTGAAATTTAACATTTCTAAATAATTTATTTATATAGAAAATGAGAAAAATATCTTTCTTGAACTTCTTATGTATTACATAAATAATATGAAAAAGACATTTACGATTTTTTAAAAAGTTATTAATTTTTATACGAGGAAGAGATTTTTTATACATGAAAATAATTTTAGAATTATTATCGTCTACAGTCTGTGTATTCTCTTTGTTAAACTTTTAATTATTTTGTTTTACTTTAATTTATAAAAGCGTTGACATACACATCAATATGAGTGTAATCATATTTATCGTTTTAAAGGTCTGGAATCAATCGCGGCCACCTTGGCTCAACGCGCTGATAAAACCGTTGAAGATCATGATGCAGCCTGTGGCTGAGGCTCTTTTAGAAGCCGCAAAAGTAATTACCTTACAATAATGTTTACGCGACGTGATCCATCGTGTGCGAAGGATATATTTAAATTTGTCATTTTTCTATAACAATGTTTAACTTTTTTAAATCAGTTGTTTAACATTCCAAATAATATCAAGACCGTACGTTATCAGTAATGCAAAATCAATTGTGAAGTTTGATATTGCTGTGAGAATTACAGTGTTAAAATAAACTTTAAAACTTTATTTTCAGACAGGTGCCAGTATATATCAAGCCATGTCTCTTGCGATCGGCTGTTTCGCCGAGTTGTACGTGACCGCCTCGACTCCGGTTTTACGCGCTGCGTTTGCGTTAAACGACAACATTCCCGCGCACTGTCGGCCGATCGGTGGCAACGTGTTGCTCCAAGTGTTATGCGCTGCTCTGTATTCTACCCTTCTGGATGTGTCCACAAAGGGCAAGAACGAACCTCATGATACACCGGGTTCCGGGGACACATGCTGTGAGCTGAGCCCCTTCAATCCGTATGATAGATCTGCTGCCGCAACGGCGCTTGCTGAAGCAATTTGCAGCATCGACGAGGACAATAAACATACATCGCAGATAGACTCCTTCCTGCTTCTTGTAAAAGATAGGTGAGTAACTATATTACCTCTAATTGTAGGATAACAGTAATAGTGGTATGATGATTTTTATAAGCAAACAATTTTCTACCGCTATGTTGTAAATTGCGTTTATAATTCTCCATAATAATTCTCCACTGGAGATATGATATAAAAGAAGTATAAAACTTAGAAAGTTTATTGCTTAAGGTGCTAGAATCTGTCTGTACCATTAAGAACGTGTTGAATGCGGAGTATCATGCGTTTTTCATGCGTTTCATTTAGAGATGTTATAAAATGTTAAAAGATGGATTTAGGATTAAAATTTGTTGTATGTCATTGTTACGTGTCATGTTCTATATTCAAATAAATGTATACACATTATTATGAATTATATTTAGAGCTTGAATTTTAAATTGTATTACAGCATTGCATTGGATTATTCCTGATTTATTTATTTATACATAAATATATAATCGCACTCGGAATAAGTATGAGATAAAAATTGTATTGTGTCACATATATAATTTCATAATGTTGTTACAAGATTATGTTTGCAAGAAATAGGTATAAACAGTGCGTTATACTATATGAAACTTCAGTTTTCCTGAGCGCTTAACATTTAATAAAATTTCTATGAGAAACGAAATTTTCAAGATACAATTGAAACTAACGTAATTGCTCTAATATGATTGATTATATTTAATCTAATATAATAAACTTATATGTATTTTTAAATTTTATTTCGTCTAACAATAAGTGGAAAAAAGAAAAAGAGAATTTATTACAGCCTCAGGAGAGACCATCAGAATCCGAGAAATGGTGAATTACAAAACATGACTTGCGTCATCGAAACTTACACGGACGAATTGTTATTCACGAATATCGGACGACGTTCTTTAAAAGTGAGTAAAGGATTAGAAATGCTCGTACACATTTGCCGCATGAGAAATGGACGCATAATGTTTATGAATGATTTGTACGCAGATTGCATACGAATATCTTGTTCGAGCGTCCGACTGGGTATTAAGTAATTTACGTCGCGGCGAGGAGAGCAGGCAGGTAGATTTGATTAATCTACCGGAAGTCTCGCCCATCGTAAAACCTCTCACACATATAATGTTTCATATTGAGGACACATACTTTGATCAAGTTAGTCATAAAAATTACACGCTCCTTAGTAACAGCTGTGTGGAAAGAAAGATTTTGCTACATCATCTAAAAATTTAGCTAGTTACAGCTCTGAAAATAATTATTTTATTATATCATTAAAATAATTATGTAGAACATTTCAACGTTTTTATGACGATGCTGCAAAAAAGTTTTAACATTCTAACATCCAGTTTGAGCATCATTATATAATTATTTTGATAATTTAAACAAAATTATTTTCAGATTTATGTTTACTAAATTTTCAATGTTTTAATTTAATCTTTTTTTTTTAGCGAAATCTTTCTCTCTGTGTATGGATCTTCGATACGAATTCAATTGTACTCTTATAATTAGCACACGTATTTTGCGAATAAATTATATATGTTTCAGTTTATGACTAATTACGAGGCAACAAATTGGTCAAAGATATTAACAATGCCTCTATCAATTACTTTGGAGCGTGTACGAAGTCAAATTCTCCTAAGACCGGAGTTCAAAAACATCGGAGATCTGAGCCATGAAGATAAAGAAGTGGCGCAATCTATCAAAAGGATTTGCTCGTTCGTCAGGTCAGCTCGTTTTAAATAAGTTATATGCACTAGTAGCGCGCGTTAAGTAATATATATATATATATATCTCTTTCTCGTAAAATTTATTCAATATACTTGAATTTTAACTTTGTAATTAAATATGTAGATATATGTTTGCCCCGAATAAAATAGGTCCTCGAAGTAATACACAGAAAGAAGTTTTTTCTACTTTCCTATGATATCTTTTGGCATTTATAACTTCTGATAAGATATTTTGCATAAAGTGAAAAATTGCGTTTTTCGCATTTTACATAATGCGTCTTAAAGTAAATATACCCAGCCAGAAATGATAATGGAATTGATGTTGAATCGACATCGATTTCATTATCATTTCTGACTGGGTAGCCAATTTCCTTTGAAGAAGTTCGTGTAAATTACTCTTTTAGTATCAAAAATTTTCCATTTCAATTTTATTAAGGTCTATTTTTTAAAAGTTTTAACGGGCTTTTAATCTGCCTGGAAGATGAGAAAATCCTTTTAGCAATATAAATTAAGCGTTTCTTCGTTCTTTTCCAATTCTTTCCCCATTATTTAGATTAGCTGCCACCACACGAACGTCAAAACTTTATTACATCGAAGAGTCTAACTTCTATTATTTTATTGATAAAACTGTAATGTGATTGTGTGTTGTCAGTAATTCCATTCGTAGATGATGCATTCACGAAATAATATCCGCGGAAAATATTCTACCGCGGGACTTACATGGGAGATCAAGAATTTTGTAGAACACATTTGTTTCAGAGGAATAATTGTGTTACATAATAATTTATTTTTGATTTGTAAATTGACATATCGACGTATTTCAAACGCGACCCTCTTTCTGTGGCGAATATAATTAATATTGAATAAATATAGTTTTGCATCAAAGCTTTTGCAATCGATCCCCATTACACGTGAAATTGTTACAGCTTTATATATATATATATGTCATAGATAACACACAGATCTTTTTTCCTTTTTATAATACAACGATCATTTTATTTGGCACATTTATCGTGAGACTACGCCTATTAATCGAGCGATGGACCAACAGGCTAACTGTTGAAAATTAAATGTCCCAAAATTATGAAACAATCTTCCAGGTCAGATTTACTACTTTTTCTTTGTCTTTTCAAAGAAATATTCAATGGAACTTCTAATTATAGAATTATATATATAATAAAAATAATAGAAAAATTAGAGAGAAAAATTTCTAATAACTTAAAGCGTAAATGAATAATAGAACCTATATTTTCATTAATCAGTTTAATTATGTATTAATACACGGAGAAAATTTTACATTAAGTTTTAATACAATTTTAAATTACATTTTACTATGTCTTGTATTTTCGGATGAACCCTCACAACAATATTCCGACATAACTTTTACTATGGTAATACTAATTTTATCACGTAAATTAAGTACTTTTTATTAAATGTAATGCTTAAGCCATGGAAAGAGTTAATTTTTACTATGGTACGCAAACAATATTTACTAAGTTATTTAAATATATATTCTTTATCTTTACAATACTAACTTTTATTCAACAAGGTGTGATTTTGTAATAAACAATTTTTATTATGAAAAAGAGTAAAAATTACTTAATATTATTGTTTTTAAAAATATGATTATAGCATTTAAACTTATAATTACACGATGGTCCGCAGCTTCTACCGCATTATAGTAATTTTAAATATAAAATTTTCTTCGTGTGTAAAAATAATTACATTTAATAAAAATAAGTTCCTAGCCAAAATATTAAATCGACAATTAAAAAGTAATGTTTTATTTTTTTTCAAAAAAAAAAATAAATTATTTCTCGATTTGTTAATAAATCACGAAATCAGAAAATTTAAGATATTTTGCTGTATAACGTTAGGGGCGTAAAGTAATTTCTATGTTTCTGTGCTAATACGTGTAATTAAACGAAGGGATAATTGCGAAGGAAAATTGTAACTGATTGTAATTGTATAATTGACCGAAGCATTTAAATTGTTAGATTGTTATCCCATGAATGAAGGATTTAGGCCAAGTGTCCTTTTATATCGCTGTCACTAATTAATGAAGATGACGACGAGATAGAATGGTGAGTGCAATTGTACAGGAAAGATCTTATAGAACGTGTTCAGCTCTTAAGTTGAACAGTGTCATGAATCTCGCAAAATCTCATACAAAGCGAAGGAATCGATTACCGTAAAACTGTCGTTTTAGGAACGCGTCGCTCCAAATTAACGCGCGCGCAAATCAAGCGTGTAAACAATGATAAAGTCGGTTTCTCTTTACGATCAGTCATTTGCCGAAACCACAAATTGTTTTTACCAAAAGTATCACTTTTTTTTTTTAGAGAGAGAGAGTAAAAGACACGAGAATTTTAGGAATGTCTTCTGTCAGTCTGGGAAGTGCGCGCGCTGCAGATCAAGACGCAATGACGATAAATTATACATAATTTATATTATACACGAGAGGGTGGTCGCGCGTTCTCATGAAGAAACAAACCAGAAAGATGTCCTTGGATCAGCTCCGCCGCTTAATTGTTGTCATCGTATCCCGCCGCAGCCGCCGCGCCTAGAGGTTTCGGCAGAACTCCTGCCTGTAACACACCGCGAAAGGACGCTAATTACTTAATTGCTTGTGAAAATCCAATTAATTGCGTACATTCGCCGAGTCCGGTGCCGATTAAATCAAAGCCGAAGACGATTCGAGCTGCGCGATAAGTGTCTTTGAACAGCGAACTGTCATAAAATATATAAAAATTCATGAAAAGAATGATTTTGTTAAAATGTCTAAAAATTTAATTAAATGCAGATATAGAAAATAATGTTGTTAAACCATCAAAATAATTGTGTAGAACGCTCAAGCTGGTTGCTGAAATGTCCAAACCTTTTGCAGCATTACTTATTAAGCTTGAGCATATAATCCTACATAATTATTTTAGTAGTTAACAAAATTATTTTCAAGTCTATATCTAGCTAAATTTTTACTTTAAAACTGTTCTTTCCGTGTACATACACGAGTACTGAATGAGGCACAGATTAAGATAATCAACTACAATTTGAGAAAGTTTATTCTTAAAATAACGAAGAAAAGTTCCTTAATATAAATGATATAATACTTAATACGACCTTATCAGGAAAGAAATTGCGCGATTGAATAAGAAAATATTCAACTCTCGTCAGGGAGAAAATATCTCCTTTCGTCATCATGATTTACGTAAATATACATAAATTACATCATTAATGTAAATACGCTATTCAATTTGGATACCACGTGTTGTACGTTATATGAAATGCTATTATTCTTAATCACGTCGTCTTGTACATAATACGCAAGCGTGCCCAATAAAGAGAAGTGGTCGCTCTCGTGAATCCACGTGTCATTTGACAGATCGATACCGCCGTCATCAACGGCGATTTCAGTAATGCAGATAAGAATTTCAGTAATGCGTCACGTCACTCTCTGGAATTTGTACTAGTCGTATACATCCACTGTCACGATTGCAAAGGCACACGTTACAAGTTTGCGGTACGACGGGGAACTTTTTATAAAGGGGAAGGAAGGAGATAATTGTTAGATACGGTAGAACGAGAAGTTTTCCCCTCGTGACTCATTCAAACTCCGTCGGGAGGTCCAGCCGCTCGTTTCTTCGTGTTGGGGGGATAAGTTAGTTTTATCGTATTATTACGGTCATTTGTAATTTGCCACCGAAATATCAACTTGCCTGCACTTCTCTTCATCTACGGCCATCATTTTTAACTGCGAACTACGTAAGACGGGGATGAAATATTGTCCTATTAAAGTATATAGATCAGATAACCGAAAGTCTTATATTTATAAAAAAAGAGATTTTGATGAGTTTTATCTTCACACGAACTGTGAATCGCAGTTATCCTAAGTGTGACAGAAATAAATATAGGTACTCGTTCAAAAAATAGATCATTGTAATGTTACACTGGCCCGTTTTTTTTTTTTAAATATATCTATATTAGCGAGTGAATATATTTATAACGAAATAAATGTTCGTAGAATATAAATTCGTTTCTCTATCACAACGTTATTAAATATCAGGTCGACATTATTTTCTAGCATCGCTCAAGAGAAGATAAATGTTGACAGTCCGCGACATTTTCGCAGCGCAAACCAAACACGGTGCTTCTTTTTTTTTAGCGTATCGGTGGCTGCAGCGAAATAACGTTTCTCGATGTAACAGTATATTGCTGTTAAAAAAGTCGTACGCTTCGTCGAGCGTACGAGGCGTCATAATGTTGTTCAGCCGGACTTTTAGAGATGAAAATTTCGTACCTCCTCGATATATCACGGGCGAGCGTATTGCAAGCGTATAAACGGGAGCAACATACCTTTCTAATGTTTCATATTGTTCGCATCTTTGCACAACTTCTGAGCGTAACGCAGTAAAAATTGAAATCGAAATAAAAGAAGGAATAAAATTGATTTATTAAAACACGCATTCTTTCATAGATCTTTATGAAGTAAAATTGCATTCTTCTACTCAAATACTTATGTAATGTGATAAAAGCGAGCGAAGCATACCTATACTTTCGACAAACATATACGCGCGTGATGTAGACATCGTATAACTTCAAAATGTAGTTTGCTCATTTCCTACATTAAAGTACACGTACTAGGACGAAATGAATTTATTTCGTTGAATATTTGCCTTGGCATTTTATTAAAAAGAGAGATGATAAATGTATGAATTAATTTGCATGTGAAGTCGCAAAACGTGCGGGCGTTTCTCGTAACTCTTTCATGTAACAGTTCTCTTTGAATGAGTTCAGTTGTCCCTGAGATATTCTAACATATATACGTTATAATATCTAGGCAATTAATGTTATACGAATGCAATAAAATATATATAAATGCTGAGAAATGAAATTTGTGCAAACTGAGATACGTTTTAATTCTCCAAAGAAAGTTATCTGCGTTTCGTGCAAAACCAAGATTTTGTAAAATTTATTATGGAGAAAAATGGGAACTACAAATGATCTCTTATATATATAAAATACTGTAAAATGAATAAATGAGATGAAAATAATGTATATACATATAAAAATAATATTATTGAAAATATATGGTGTTGTATTAAATCTTCGTTACGAATAACATACTCTTGTCTCAAAATGAAAGATAGAAGAAAGACGATTGAAAGAAGAGCGTAAATCCGTAGCACATTTGACATGTATTTTTAGACCTCAGCGTAACTTTCACGTGATATATATGAAAAGTCAATGTTATTTACAGCCAATGCTGTTTATATACTTATTAATTTATGTTCTATTACCTACAGCAATTAGGTCGGTATTCATTCTCCGTTTTTAATTTCAAGACCGTTTCAAGCGATGTTTTAAGATGCAAATACAGTCTCTGATTGGTTTGTGACATTTCTTCAAGCACTATACGAAACTTGAGCAACGTCTGTAAATTCCGTTTTTAGATTCTATGATACAATTCTTTGTTAATGTTATAATACTCTAAATATTTGTTAAACGATCATTTTTCTAATTACCATATTATAATCCCTATCCCTATTATCCTACGAGACAACCGGCATGCAAGTCGCGACCACACTTCAGTTCAGAAGAGCTGCGTCACTCTCACTAATTACGAGAAAATTAATTTCCCAGGGAATACTCGCGGCACATTAAGAATAGAATGCAAAGGGGACTCGAAAAGCATTATGAATTAAACCGCGCGCATTCCAGAAACAGAAGTAATTCATGCAAAACAAGAATATCCATCTCGAAAAGAATTTCCGATGACACGAAAATGTACTAAGTTCGTATTAATTATAAAAGTTCTTTCATCTTTTTATTTTTAGCGTGTCTTTTTTTATATGTATAATCAATTGTATTACGTTTTATATCAAATTGCCTTCATATCTAATGACTACTGCTACAATAAGTAGGGGAGACCGAGGTGAGTTTAAACAAAGGTAAGTTGAAACAACGTCGATATCTCGAAACCAATAATAGTCGATAATCGGGCAACAGTACAATTTTAATACACGTAAGACAAAGGTTAAAATTGTACTGTTGTCCGATTATCGCTATTATTGGTTTCAAGATATCGACGTTGTTTCAATTTACTTTTGTTTAAACTCATCTCGATCTCCCCTATGTATAATAAGTGAGCTACAATTTCAAAACGCACAATATGTAAAATTAGTGAATGCGTAAGACAAAGAATATATGCAATATAACAGTGGCGTAGCCAGGGGGGGGCTGCACAAATTCCCGAAATTCTGAATAATTTCAATAAGAATGTGCAAAATTGTTGAGCCGTAAATATCAATTTGTTTTGAAAGAGGAAATTAAATCTTGTTGGGATAGTTCCCATTTTTAATTTAATTGCAAAAATATCGTTTATTATATATTAAAAATATATTTGTTGATTTTCTTTTGTATTTAGCATGTAAACAAAAATTCGATAAATTACACGGAAAAAAATGTTGCTGCTAGTATTATACAATCGCAAAAAGTGGTATTGGGAGAACTGCAGCACTTCAACTCAGCCGAATATTAATATTTATTATTCAAATTTTTAAACTACAATCTTTGACATATTCTGCGACTTGTAGAGCTATTCCGAAATTTACGAAGCACTTTACAACAAAATGGCTGATTTATTTTGTCGAGTTTAGTGAATTTTTTTCAAACGTTAAAGTTATGTTACGAATTTTCGAATTAAAAATTTTCATTAATGCTACATTGTAGTTGAATATTTGAAGAAGTTTTCTGAAAAGTATTAGATCTTTAAAAGTAATAGTAAAAAAATTATGACAATTTATATGCTGCGTTAGTAAAACATCCGAAACGCGACATTGCAACGACATGTATATTATGTATTATATTATTTTGTTTTAAACTTTTTTGTTTATGCTTAGCAAATGTCACTAGTAAAAAAAAACATTTTAAAAAAATTGATTTCTACAGCCCCTCCCGAAACATTTTTCTCACTACGCCACTACAATATAATATAATTTATATAATATAGAATAATATAATTTATTAATTTTAATCACTTTAATGTTAGAGATTATTTTAATAACGTAATAAATTGCGTGAAACCGTTCGCGCTCGTTAATTAATCAAGTCAAATAAATCATTAAAGTACAAATGACCTGCAAATGACAAATCAATAGTGACTCTGTTTTATTTGACATTTATATAAAATTTACGCGGACAATGTAACTAAAATAAATAGGGGCAACGGAAAGGAGAGTTTTAGAAGACATATTACATATATCAGAGTTACCTAGCTACTTTCTCTGTATGAATACTTCTTGCACTCACTGTATATAACTAAATGAGTGTAATATTTTACAAACTTTTATGTTTGCCTAAGGATTTATTCTACATCATCAATGCAAAAGTGAGAACTTACGGAGATGTGCGGTCCAGAACGACCGTATCGAAGACGTAGCGCTGGCGATCGCTGCGATTTCCGAATCATCAGTTGTTCCAGCGGAATGCCGCTGAAACCGTTGTTGAGCGCATTGCGTTGTACCAAGAGCTTGTACAGCTCATGGATATTCTCTGCGGGCGCTTTTTCCGCCATTTCTTCTGTAAACATAAACGTATGGATTTATATAAAGAGTGTTAAAAAAAACATTTGGTATTTATATGATAGATTGTACAACACCAAATATAATAATGAAAGAGTCTTGGTGAACATGAGAGAGTTCAACCATTTCAAAGATATAAACATTTTTGTATGAGAGTATCATACTGACTTATCGACTCCTATATATGGACGTGAAGTTTTACCTCAGTGTTTACAAAGCATGTTCTAAATATTTTCATTCAATTTCAATAGGTACTTTGTAATGAAAAATTTCGATAATCAGTAAGTTGACATCCAATTATTACAATTGGATGGAAGATCATCTCATTGGATCTGTTCCGAATAGACTATCACACACAGTGTTACTTTCTCAATTTTTTTCTTTTCAGGTCGTATGCAATACATAAAAAACAATAATAAGTCAGTTATGATATATAAAATTGTTTATCAATAAGTAATAAAATTATAATAGTAATAATAAAAAATAAAATAAGTAGTAAAATTGTTTGTATTTTAGAAATGGTTAAACTTTTGACCTACATATTGTTCATTAAGCCTTTTCACTCAGTATGGTGTGTATATAAATAAATACTGAATGATTTTTTTAAACACACATCCTGTATATCTGTGTCAATACAGGATTAAACATTGATATTCTGTGGATGACTCGTAGAAAAGAGGATTTAACGAATGGCGGGAAAAACTTGTAACGTCATATTTTTTTGTTTTACGCGTATCAGTATCCATACATGTGCAGATGGCAAATCCTTCCTCTGCGTAAGATAAAATATTATAGAATAAAGTAATTCTGCTTTGATATATATATATGTATATACACCGATTTGTATAATTACCGTATAAATATTCATTGCATTTCAATTACTGTCAATATCAACGATTTTCATTGCGAATGAATCTTGGAATAATTTTAGTTCCTACTAAAGCGCCATCGAGCCATCGCCAGAAGCTTTTACTTCTTGAGAATTAATGACACATTAAGAGCATCAATGGCATTTATTGTTATATTGTCGATAAGTTTTCGATTGATAGCCGTCACTTTGTCTTACGACCCAGGCAAAGAAACATCTTTCATCATTGCTTAAAGATTGATTTCCGGGACGTGTACCAAGCGCGACTCTCGTATAGATACGCGTATGTCACATCTCCCTTTCGAACAGATGTAAATCGGGCGCGTGTGTGATGCGCGCGCGTCCAGTTTTACGGGAAAATATAGAGAGAAAGTATGACGTTTTACAAGTACGTCCGTTTTATGCGGCATTAAACTACTTTACGATAAGTAGCGTTCTTCGTATGGGCACGTAGGGTCATACGAATTGGTGGGCGTTTATACGGTTACTATCGTACATAACGCGCGTTATAACGATTATTCACTTTTATTCATCCACATAGTCGTCCTATAAAAAAAAAAACAGAAAGAAATACATATATTCCATCGGCGATGGCGACATTATCTGACGTGTCGTTTATCATATACGTAATATGTGTATATACATATATCTTGACGTGCGTGTATTCAGAATTATTAACGCTTTCAGTATCGATATCAATTTTTTTTTTTTTTTTCAAAAAATAAAGACACATTATGTTTCTATAAGATTTACAGATAGCAAATGTTTTTCGAATGTTTTTTGAAAACTATGAAAGCTTTATGGAAGCTCGAGTATTGTCAGTTATAACAGCGTTTGATAGAGGATTTTATTTTCTACGTACATGTTTACATTGATTTTATTCCTTTACATATTTTTATTTAAATAAAATATACAAGCAAAATAAATTTAAAAAAGGGTTTGTATTGTTTATATATGTATATATCATTGCATCTATTAAAATGATTAAAACGATTGTTTTATTAAAAAAAATCAAATTTATTATTAAAGCCAAACACTTTAAGAACACGTTTTCAATTTATTGTAGAGAAAATGTATTTATGATCGGGGATGCTGAGAACAAAAGAGCATCGAAACGGATGTTTATTCACACATCTCTTTGATTGCTTTCGAATAACGATATCGATAAACTTGACCAGTTCATCAATAAAAAAGCGATCTTTTTTTATTGTAACGGAGTAGTAGATATACACATCGACCTTGTAAGAATACAGACGATAGAATTTTCCCGCGTGTATATCGCACAAAGGCAAACAGGTAACCATTTTCCAATTGAATAGGCACCTTTCAACTCAATGAAAAACTTGCGTGTTAAAATTCGAGGACGCGCGATGATGTAAAACATGTTAGTGTGGTTTTTTTTTAATTCAAAATCGCAGCTCGTGTACAATCGATCAGATAAATCTAGTTTTCTGCATTAAAAAAATCATAAAATACCGGATACAAAGATACTGCAATTGCGATGGTTTGACTTTTATGTCAAATGCGAATTACTTGTTCTACAAAAAAAAAAAACAAAATTAACGAAGCGCGGGTTTCAAAGTAGATGCGGTTGTCCGTTGCACCTGTTGACTATCATAACGCGCTGCATCGCCTTCCGCGTTATAATGCGGACTATGTTATATTCAATTTTATCTCCATGGAGCTAAATATTCGCTGTTTGCTTCGCTAATGGCTTCTTTAACACTACCATGCAGTTTCAAATGATTTAATTAATAATTCATCAAAATTACGAGACCATCCCGAAAACGAAATTGAATCTTCCATAAAAAGAAAAAAAGAACTGCATATTGAAATATGTACAACTACACAGTGGAGCTGAGATCGATATGTTTGTGATGCTCGACTGAACGCTTTTGCGGTCTGTGGGAAAATCACCCTGGAATTCGTGCACGAGTAGAATGTACGTATATTGATAAAATGCGCTTATAACAAAAAGACCCTAACAGATAATTCGCGATAACGAGGTCATTTTGGCATTGCTTGTAGATAGAGAGAAAGGGAGGAAAGAGAGATCCTATAACAGGACACGATCCTCTTATAAGCGATTATTGAATAGAGAGAGATTTGACCAGGCGCGCGCAATCGTACGCGTGATTAGGGACACGATGAAAGTGACACGTAGGACGGTCAATATGATCAGACCGGATTTACGATGAGTTTATACCTTGCGGTGAAATACATAATTCCTAATCATCCTGGATCAACTGCGTTTCATATCGAGCGGTGTAATTATTCATTGAAATGTAATATTGTATCTTCATTAGTTGATGACGAGAGGGAATTCCGTGAATACCGATTTTGCGTTTAAAAATAACGTTTCGTTTTCTTACTATTAACGGTGTTGTATTTCTTTTCTGTTAGACTTTGTCAGATTTTATTATTTAAGTTTTATTTTTTCGCGTAATAGGACTCATTCATTTTCTAAGCTTGTCATTTAAAATTTCTCTAACTAAAAATTGCGCAATTCATTTATTAATAGTATTGGAAGATAAATACCTGTACGCGTTAAAAACATTATACAAATTAAAATTTGTAGAGAGCATATAATTTTTATTTATTAATGATGTTGGATGGTAAATATCTGTACATTAAGAAATTAAAATTTATGTAATGTTCTTAATGTACAGATATTTACTATCCAATACTATTAATAAATAAAAATAATATATTCTCTATAACGTATTTGAAGCAAAAGTCATGAAATTATTTTCTTATATTGTTTTATTATTTTCTTGTTGAAAAAACCTTCTGTTTAAAATCTGTCCAATATTTTGTAAAAAGCGAATGTCTTTTTAATCCTAAATTACTTGTAACTTTAAAACTGTTATTATTTATATTTTAATAATTTAGTTTAAAAAAATTTTGCTAATATGTATACAAAAAGAGAAATAATTTGTTATTTAAAAGTATTCAAGTAAATTGCAAGAAATGAAAAAATTTATATATTTTATTATAATATAATATAAAAATATTTAACATTACATTACTTTTGAGTTACGCTAAATAAATTATTCTATAGATACGCATGAAGATAACTATACAATTACATAATATTATGTAATGTAATAAGGCAAAATCGTTATATTAACAAGTGCAATTCGATAGAAGGTTTAATTAGACTTACATTTTTCGCTACGGTCTAGAAGCCGACGGCTTAATAATAGCCATTCTTCGCGATCATTAATTATTGTAGTAGGAGACGCGCTGGCGACAGCCTCGCGTTGATATGCGGTATTACCGGTAATGGAATACAAAACGTGTTATCATGCCAAGTAAGAGTGAAACTTTAATGAGACTTATAGCGCGGTAGGATAGCTCGGCAAAACATAAATTTGCATTGAAAGAACGAGAAATATTCATCATAAGAATTTGTCAAAATGATGAACTTTGAGGAAGTATAGAAGTTTATTATTATTGTCATTTTAAAGAAGTATAATAATATATAGAGTATAAGGAGGTATAAGAAGATCATTTCGGAAATGGTATAAATCTAATAGCGAATTTGATTAGACGCACTCAACCGGATTGGTGCACATCAAGCCGTCGTACACAAATTGACATAAAGATGTATATTTCAATATCGAGCTGCTTCTCGTCCCGATTAGGCGAGCGGTTTACCCCCATTTTGCGTTCATTAACCGACCGATCAAAGTTCTAGTGTCTAAAAATGATTGGATTCGATTCCTCATATTATTCTGAGAAAAAGCATCTATATACACTTTATTTGTTTAAGTGGTCATTAAAAAGTTATAAACATTTTTTTGTTTAAAAAATCTAAACTTTGAACAAAAATTTCGAAAAAATTCTGTAAGCTTAATTGGATCAAAATGAATATTTTTTGTCTGTTAGACTTTTTCGATAAAATCAATAGTTTTCGAGATAAAAAATGTCAAAGCTTGAAAAATGACTACCTTTACGATTTCTTTTCTCACAAACTAATCATCCAATCAGTACGAATAAAAAACGAAAATATTCGGCCAATCTTAAACTATAACGAGGAATTTTTTAATTTTCATCCATACTGTTATTGATAGTGAAAACTTTATTAGAATGAAGCTCTGAAGGCGCGTCCGCGGCGCGTGAGCGGTCTCGACGCTGCGTTGCTACATCGGCGCGCCGAGCATGTGCATACACATGTTCATGCGTGTTTTGTTTTCGATTTAGTTTTCGCTAGCATTTTTTTCTCAATCCGTTGTGTTTCATTTCAGTAAAAACTATTATTGAATTATATAATTATATTCAAAATTCGTGTTTTATTGAAATTTATATTCTAGTGTAGATATTTCAACTTTCAAACAAGCGCTGTGCCTATAGCTGTGATACTATTAACGACTCGGCGGCGTCGCATCGAGACTGCTCACACACCGCGGACGCGCCTTCAGAACTTCATTCTAATAAAGTTTTCACTATCAATAACAGTACGGATGAAAATAAAAAAATTCCTCGTTATAGTTTAAGATTGGCTGAATATTTTCGTTTTTCATTCGTACTGATTGGATGATTAGTTTGTGAGAAAAGAAATCGTAAATGTAGTCATTTTTCAAACTTTGACATTTTTGATCTCGAAAACTATTGATTTTATCAAAAAAGTCTAACAGACAAATATGTTCATTTTGATCCAATTAAGCTTACAGAATTTTTTCGAAATTTTTGTTCAAAATTTAGATTTTTTAAACAAAAAATGTTTATAACTTTTTAATGACCACTTAAACAAATAAAGTGTATATAGATGCTTTTTCTCAGAATAATATAAGGAATCGAATCCAATCATTTTTAGACACTAGAACTTTGATCGGTCGGTTAATTCATTTTCTAAGCGACTTTTCGGGGGTAAACCTAGATGAAGTGAACTACGATATTCACGAAACAATGGCATTCTAATGATGGATTTAGATATCTATGGAAATAATTTACGGAACATATAGTTTCTGTATAGACATAGAAAAATACAGAAATAATAATTAATACTCTATGTAAGTAACTTACTTGTTTCAACTATGAAAGTAAATTATTTGCTTCAAGTTGTATTTCAAAAATTCATACATCCGCAAATTTATATCCTAAGTTTATCACAACCATTAAATTTATTAAAAATATATTCTGAATCTTGGTAAGTTTAATAAATATTTCAATGAAGTTTATTAAATTAAAAGAAATTCGATGTTTGTTTATTAAAGAGAAGTTTATTTCTTCGATCAATTTTTTACTATTCTTCAAAAAAAAATAAATTTTTGTTTGGAATATATAATAATGAGCTTTTCTAAAATTTTGTAATAAAGGTATATTTTACAATTATTAAAAAAATATTCTTTGTTAAAGACAACTATTATTTAAAAGGAAGAAAATGAATTAAATAACTTTTATATTTCTCTCTTAGCAATACAATGATATTTTTCTGCGTATAGAAAATAATGTGGAAAATCTTATATGTGAAAAATCAAGTAATTCATGAAATATTCAATATATTTTATTGCTCTGTTAGGTAAAATGTATATCCTATAATTCAAAATGTTTATTAAATTTTAAATATCTCAAAATATTTACTTTTGCGCTTAGATTAAATCAATATACAAAGATTTTAATATGCATCAGTCCGCATTAGTACGTCCAATCGAATTCGCTAAAAAAGTTATTCAATTCAATGCAATATAAATTCCGTATTAATTCCAAAAATTTTCCAGAAATTAAACACACATGAATGAAAAGACCCATCTTCAATCGAGGCGGTTCTTCGCATGCTTAATAATATCTTTTGTAAATTTATACAATTATAATAAATTAAATAAGTAAATTTATACCAATTTTTTTTTTCAAGTAAACTGTATGCCGATTATTTATCGATCATGAAACACAAATCCTAAATCAAAACTGAAGTAATATTACAAATTAAATTGTCAAGTAATTTAGTATTATCGGTGCTAATAAACATCATTAAAATAATTTATTACGATTACATTATCCCGGATTTCGAACCTGACCTCCTGTATTTCATGCAAAAAATTCTTTCCAAAAATTAAATTTACTCCAATTATATAAAAAAAAACCTGTTTATTTAAAAAAAAAACTAGATAATAAATGCATAATTATTCTGCATGTATCAACAACATCTTTTCAAGTAAACAATAAATAATTTGTGAAGTCATATGAAAGTAACAAAATAACTTACCTCCGTAATCCACGTAATTTTCGGTTGCGTCCACGAAATTGACTATCACCACGACAAGAATGAAAGCTGCGCGATATTTAGCATACATAATGTTGTCTTCTGTTCTCTGCAATCAAACAAACAATTCTACATGTAATTTAATTCCTCTGGTTGATTTTCCGGACGTAAAGGTTTTGCTTCAGACATGTGCGACCGAGAACGCGCATATGTGCCAAGCGCGTTATCTAATCGATTTGGTAAAGAATAGTTTTCTCCTTCTTTCTTTCTTTTTTTACATTATAAAGATGAAAGATTGTCACACTATTATTTTGTAAGTTTATAATTCAAATGTTGCAACATGACGCAACACATCACAATGGCAGTTTTGTTTCACTAATTGTATAAGACTTGCACTTTGTAGAAGCTTCGACCGTGCTGGAATATATACTACGTTTGTTGCTGATATAATTCCCCCATGTATCGTTTGGACATGCGAACGTTTGACGAAAATGAGGGAAGATAAATTCAAAACCGCTACGATAACAATCAAGCCAAGTATGGGTTTCGCAGTTAAATAACATCGCCTACTCATGAGACATTGGTCGCGTTCAGCAGAGAATGTAGCGGTACAACCGTTGTAAAATTTCGCGCTACGGAGCGGTTTACGCTATTACAACATGTTTGCTGAGCGGTCACCATTTGAAAGCTCCCAGCGCTACGGAGCGTAGCGTAAAGCGCTCATGTAGCGACTTTCTCTACTGAACGCAACCATTATTTACTTAACTCTTCGAGCACTGTCATAATAATTTTATTATGCAAAATACTTTATTATATCATTTTCTCATGTCTATTGTAAAGAGCTATCCAAATGAAATATGTATTTCAAGATGAATAAGGAATTTATTTCTTATTGTGATAAGAGGTATATGGATAAGCAGTATTGTTAACATTACCGTATTTATTTTAATGTACCATTTATTTTAATATACTACAGCAGCCTGTAAATGCTTATAATTTTATGTCTATTATTTTCGGTAAATCTAAAATTATAGAGAAAAATATAGTTCGCATAATCCTTATTAATAGTAACTGTTTTTAAGTTTTTTGTACTTTTAGTCGTCACATTTTTGTATTAAAATGCAGTACTCGTCATTCTTATATTTAAATATATTTAATGACAGGAAGATAATAATAGAAGCTAACAATAAATGTATTATTAAGTGTGGGAGTAATCCATTAATTGAATTTTTTACTTTAAAAAAGTTAAATATTTAACGACAAAGAAATTTATAGGCATACATATAATATAACGATTTTTCATTTTTCATTAAAAAATGTATTAATCTCGTCAGAATAAACTATTTAATATTCGAAATAGTTTGAGAAAATTACTTTATATTTAATAAACGATTTTTATTGAAAAATTTGTCGAGTTTCACGGTTGGTATTATAACACTTTGTAATTTTGTGATCAAAAGAGCAAGTTTAGGAAAATCTTTCATCGTTAGCCTAATATCACTTTATCGACAAAATCTTTTAGCTCATTCAGGACTGTGAGTCAAAGCGTATCTCTTTATGCCCTCAATGTTCAAAGGATCATGTTATCGATATCATCGAGGTCATAATATTAACGAGCTATATTTTTATGTCGATATCTAGTTAGCTATGTTATTATTTATGTCATGCAACGGCTCAAGTGACAAGACAAGAAGCAAGAGAAAAAAAGTGAACTATCAGCATCGACACCGCGCTTTCTGAATAATTCATTGAATTATAAATTCTACTTAGAAGGGAAGATCGCGTCCGCATCGTCAAACGACGAATATTCGCGTGCACGTGGATCATGTTGTAAAATTAAGTGCATATGTAAACGTTAATTTTTGGCGTGAAATATTAAACTGGATCACACGCTTCGCAAGTGTCGTATGAACGTGACATTTCCATACCGAATTATCATTTCCACGCAACTTGTGTACTACCACAATCTATCATCTGACTCACGATGAGAGTATCCGTGCGAGCATCGCGATCTCTGTTCCGAACGGGGTATTAATTTAGAGGCAACCCTCATTAAAGCAGGCACAACCGCAAAGCAAGAAGGCTTCATCCATACATGACACCTGTTTTGGCGTGTAATCTGCGTTTTTGGCCATAAAATTCAAACATAGATCCATTATACGTATCTATGTTTGAATAATAATCCACGCCTGTTTCCCGAACGATCCCATTTCGATGTTTCTTTGCTGTGGGAAAGTATGACGTTATTGCCTTCTTCCATTTCCGCCTTTAACATTAATCGCACGACAAAAACGCTTGTAAACATATTTCATTTTATTTACCGAGGATAAAAATTCCATTAATGCTAATATGACTTCCATTTTTCCCTTTTGTCATTAAAAGTTTAACATTTTCGAATTTTAATGTACAAATAATGTTACGACTCATCTAAAGAAGAAAATACGCATGAATCTCTATTAACAGGAAAATATAGAGGTTATATTGTAAATAATTATCATGCAGCATTGAAATAATATTTCTTCTGCAAGAACAGGAGAACTGCAGAAAGATAACAAAAATATTGTAATATCGCTTTATATATTTATATTTTATATATCATATATACATATATTATTGCTCAAAAGCTTCAGTATATCTGTTATTGTGTCTCTGCTAATAATTTTATTTTTTATAAAATATGAAATTTTAATATGATATATATATATATAATATATCTTTTATTTTTTTTTTCGCGCGCGATCATGGAAATATTCAATAAAGTCGCAAATTGCCAAAAGATAATTATAAATAAAAATTATGATTAATAAATGCAAATTTTATATTTATATTTTATTCTTTTTTTATATTACGAAATTTCTATAAATACGGATTGTGCTGTAACTTTTTTATATCTTATACAATTTTCTTTTTTTCTCTGGACAAATACAATATTATTTATTATTACATATCTAATTGTATCTTGCAACATTTATTAAATACTGAAAAATATAAGAAATATATTTAAAAGTATAAATTAAAAAAATACAATCAGAGATGTATATTAAAAAAAAAAAATTAAGTCTTTAAAAGCATACGGGGGTAAACATATAGCAGATCTAAAAAAAGTCCTCTTAAAAAGGATTTAATTTATTATATATGTATATATAAAATACATATAATACCTTTTACATCATGTATTTCTATTAAACAAATAAATTTGAAATTCTGTTCCAATGACTGGAGATGGAGAGATCCGGTTTATGTTGTTATTTATTGTGGTTTATGTCGCGACAATCTCTAACGTACGACAGAACCCAAGTTGTCGAATCCAATTCTATTTGTCGTGTCTACGGGCGCGAATTATAGCGTATAATCCGTTGATTACTCACACCGCATTGACCGAGGTAAATCTGTTTAATCGTTTTCGCGTGCTCGATATTAAACGTACACGAATGCAATACACGCCGATGCGTAATTGCTTTATGAAGCCCATTTTAGACGATGTATAATTCTCGTCAGAGTTCAGAATAAAATTGAATGCGTATCTTTATGTTGCACGATATGAAAAATGCTATTTAAGGATCAGAATATATACCTATACAAACTACAAAAATGTAGACATCAAATTATGTAACATAAAGTTATAAATATTTCTAAAATCTACAAACTGTACACGTAGATAGTTCAAGGTTTAATATAAGCATACAAGTGTGTTTCATCTTTGCCATCGGTTTCTTATATAGCAGTGTTTTGCATAGGGTTGTTTTGGAAGATCTCGAACCATCTCTATGTAAACGTCTTGCATATAAATTGATTACGATAAATTCAAAGACAAGTTCTTTATCATCTCTAATAAGAGATTTTTTTGGAGCTCTTGTTGGATTTCCGTTGAATAGCTAACTCCAATGAAAGTTTTGCTATAATAAAAAAATTGTAGACAACAACAGTTCAAATAATAATTTCAAATCGAGAAGCAATATTTCTTCGAAATATTTTCACCATTAAACATTTTTGAAGAAGGTATGTACATGCTAAATATTTTATTCGAAAACAAATCATTTGATGATATATTTATATTTAAGTTTCAAGAACTTCTGTTATTACTGTTAATGAATAAAAACATTCCGTCTCTCTTGGAAAAGGACTAAATTATAATTTGAACATTTTAAAAAAGCATCATGACGCGAACAAATAATAATAATAATGTAGAGCAAGAATATCCCGCACTTCTCAACCTTGATTAACGGCAATTTACTTGTTGAGCTTTCCAAGGCAATAATTGCCCATCTTTTTACTCGGTACGTGCTGCACAGGCTTTTAAAGAACATAAATAATTTACGCGTACCGATGAGAAGATGGTAAAATCGTATTTTTGCTCACCAATTATTTTTGCTCGTGGATTCTTTCCGCTTCACTTATATCGACTTTTAATGTATTTATCTGCTAGCGTTCAAGAAAAATAACTAAATTTGTTGTATAATCAGTGAGTAGCAATTAAGTAAGAGAGGCTGTACAAGAAAAAAGATATCGATTATCATAGCTCCGTCGACGTTCAGATGTAACAATATCTGATCTTAATTACTTTTTGCGCTAATTAGTCGTTAGTGAAACGTCTTAATAAACGAGAAGTGTGCGAAAAGCACAGGTCGTTGCGCAATGAAGAAACACATTGTAACCAAATATCGATTTTGGATACTATTTCTGTATATAATGGAATTACGTTTTAAAAGCTGCTTTTCAGGTATTTTCCATTTGTGCGGTAAGATTCTTCATTTGTATACCGATTTTATTTCCCTACCATTATTATCCTATGACAAATATTTTCAAGCTGCTCGGTTATCAACCCCAGATGACTTTTTGATCACGTATATACGTATATATGTACGTAATGTTAATGTTCAAGTTAAATGAATTTTGGTCGTACAATGGCACCGATATTTTAACGCATGAATGTATTGTACCCACGCATTTCCAGTTAAGAAGTTTGACAAAACGTGAATGTGCGCTGCAGGAAGTTTTTGAGAAAAGCAGATAAAAAAATTTAAAATTTGTTACGAACAAATTGTATAAATATATATGTCCAAGTTCACGAGTATCCGTTAAGTTAAATCTCTTGCAGTACGGTTTATAATCTACATAATCATGCGACGCGGAAAGTAAAGTGTATGTCGAAGATAAAGATATACAGATAAAAGTTTAAAAAGTTTGTACTTTGAATATTATTTAACTTTTTAATAATTTTTTATACTATAAATTATACGCAATTATAGTAAGTGTATAGAAAAAGAATCTAAATTAAAATACCTGATTCAATTTATATAAATTATTTTTATTTAAATTTATGTTCGAGTGCAATGTCTAATAAAATGCGGCCAAATCATTTTATTTGAAGAGCAGATAAACCGTATTAAATAAACAATTACCGTTATTGCACAACAACAATAACGTAAAACTTTAAGCGCAAAATACAAATCAAAACAATTTATGTGATATCAAATATAATAATATGTAATACATCACATTCAATGTGCACTGAAAATAATTATAGATTTTAAATTATCCTAAAATTCGCAAATATATCGGCTGTAAGCTTGTATAATTTAGCTGCAAAATGTCAATCTTTCTTTGTCCTCTGTTTTATATCTTTGACCTACGTTAGTAATTTATTACCCATTATATTGCGATAAAGAAAATAGTAATGACCACGCCGCCGGATAGTTTCAATGGATTTACGTACATCATAATCATAAGGGCAGCGTACTCAATTTTTATGAGGAATACAAAAGCGTTTTTGTTTAAAACACCATTGATTGGATATATACGCAGCATAGTTTTACGCATTTAAATTTTTAGTCTCATTAGTATTATAAAAAATAAGAAAAAATTACAGTATCTAAATAAGAACCTAATTATTATTGAATGTTTCACCATTAAAATCTTTTTATAAATATTCTTTATACAGGCCTATCCAATTTGAGCTCCAGAGCAAACCATCGACGTAAAAAATTTAATGTGAATAAGATTTCATCAACTGTTAAGCATCATTTAAATGCGTATCAACACTTTACAGTCTCCGAAATCTCATCCATATTGATTTTTTTGCGTCGATGATTTTGCGTTTTAAACTCAAATTGGACAGTCTATCCTCAGGATGTTATTTATAAAAATTGATCTACAGAATTATTCATATGTGCTTTAAGAATAAATATTTATATTACGCGAATGAATATATTTGATAATTATATTTTTTGAGAACTCATATTTTATATATTATAAATACATACACAGACACACACATACACTATATATATATTAATTATTTCAAAATGATTTAGTATACGGAAGATACGATAAATTATTTTTCCTAATTTACTGCTACATCACACGTCATAATTATTCAATTTCTTCAACGAAGATAGAAGTATGTATATGTAAACTGCACGCGCACGTATAAACCACACTCACATATGTATTAATTGATAAATACAGAAAAAATCGTGTTTTTTTACACGTATTATATTTTTTATCAAAAAATATAACTCAAAAATAAAATTTAATCAAGCAGAGGAAAATTAATTTAGAAAATTTGATTTTACCACTATAATTAAACATAATAATCAGCAATATTTTCTGTAAAGTAAAATTCATTACATATTATTTATAGTAAATATTATTAACACAAAATAAATAAATAAATAATAACAAACAATTAATGTAAAATATTTTAAAGGATAAGCATAATCGATTAATAATTGATTATTTAATCAAATGTGATTAGTCTGTTTTTTTTTGTCTTGAGAGTCGACAGGAGTGACGGATAAGATTATTTGCATTTCGATTGCACCATAGTTAATTAAAAAATGCAATTGATTTGCAATTGCGTTCATTTAATATAATTGTTTTTTAAAAGTAAATGATCATTATGTCCATTACTTTAAAAAAGACGTGTACAAAAATTTACTGTAAACAATGTATTGTATTAGATATTTTAAAGCAAAATCTCGTACCAATATCATACCAATATCGTACCTTATCATACCAATTTTGAGTGATTTATTAAATTTAAAAAGTTATAAGATTACAAAGTAAATAGAATTTTTAAGTATATTTTTTGAAATCTACCATTCTCTTTTATAGAAGAATAGAATTCTGTTTATAATTGTATGTGCCGTATAATTTATAAAATGTATTTAAAAAATCAAAATGTACAACATATTATAGTATATTTAAAATATGTCAATATATATATCAAAATGTAACGAAAGATGAATCAGAGAATATTAAAATATAATGCTTCCTGATCTTTTCTATAATTTAGATGTAATATGTACGTTAACCAGACTCACAAGTAACGGATTTGAAGATAAGTCAAACAATGAAAGTTCAATTAATTATAATAAGATTTTATAGTATTTCCGAAGTAAATTGCAGGAAAACCCATTTTCGTGATCTTGGAATTTGTAAACTTGGAAATTGTTAAACGCAGAGATAACTATCAGAAAAGAAGAAGAAATGAAAAAGAAAGTAAGGAACGATACAAAAGGACGTGTATAAGAAATAAATCGGACTCACCGAGTTTGAATTCTTGAGCGTTATAGTCTCAGGTGATGACACTGCAGGGATTGAATGATTTGAACGTTACCGGAGCGACGACGGTAATGAGAGAATGTGACCAAGGGACCCTTCATATATATATATATATATATATATGGGAAAGCCGTGCTTTCGACGGGGGGATGAAAGAGAGACGGAAAGAGAGCGAGAGAAAGAGAAAGAGACAGGGTGGGCGCACAGGTGGCTCGAAAGCGGCCACGCGATCACGGGGCGCAAGCGTCCTCTTCTTGCCATACCCCGTTCGTCCCTCCAACTTTGCCACTCTCTTGCAACGAGAGGACCGAGGAGGTGGAAAGACTTATTCGCCCTCGCGGTTCTTTGCAAATTCCCTTTTGCAAAAACGTTTTCATCAAGAAATTGTCTTCTGATGCGAGTTATACTTAGACGATTAATAATGTATAATTTGGTCTCAATAATATTTAACAGATTACTTCATCCGCGGTTTATTAATGTTGATATTAAAATAGATGTGTGAGAAGACATTCATGTACATGAAAAGATCGAAAAAGGAGGCAGTAAAAAAGATTCAGATTCATCAGAGAGAGGCCTATTGATTTTTTAAAGGTCACGTTTCGCTTACTCGATTATGAAGTATGATGAAATGAATTTTTTTAAATGTGATGCATATGTCATTCTTTAAAAAAACTGTCACTCTCGTGAAAATAATTTTGTATTTTTCGTAATTAATATATATGAAATGTTTTACAGTTGGTTTCTTCTGATTTCCCGGAAAAATATTCTGCGTACAATAATATTATACTTTTTTACACGATGTTCATAGAAAGAACATACATATAAATTATATTCAAAAAGTTACAATTTACTTTCTATATTTAATTTTATCTACAAATAATCGTTTCTAGAAGCAATGTTAAAGAAATCTCTTACATTTTTCGTGAAAATTCTAATTCAGTTTCCAATTACTAACGAATTAAATTTAACTTAACTCTTTTGCAGATTTATTTTTATTACTCTTTGTATCTCTGTATCTAATTCTCTCTACTTCGTATTTAGACCGAGCCACATGCGGGTGGACTCGCAGGACTAGTTTTTTAATTTTTGAAACTAAAATAACAAGAGACACTGTTTTCATGAATCTCCATTAAATCGTGTCGTGGCAGTTTTTCATATTTGCACATCGCGGTATTGTTGTAAAGTCAAACATTTGAAAACATTTTAAAAAATTTTGCCACATGGGAAGCAGGAGTTGGCAGCCGCTTGTTTTATTATGCCGGTGATCCTTACAAGAGAGGGCCATTTTCATTAAGAATTCTCTGTATCGCAGTTGCTGCCACATACCGTAATGGAGAGGGAGGTTTTTATCTTAACGAGATCGTGCGTGATGTGCGTTCTTTCTCTCTTTTTTTTTTCTTTTTTAGTTATATGTCGTACGAATCTTAGTAGTGAGGAGCACATCAATGTTCCGTCTAAGGGGTGAAAGGTCAGAGTCCTACAGCAAACTGATTTCGAAACGAAGTAGAAGATTTCCGTGAAAAATTTTGTATACGTGAGCTTTTAAATTTTCAAACTTTGAATTAACCTACATTCATTGATAAATCGATTGTCATTGACATAGATTTGTTAAGTTAAGCGATATAGATTGTTATCGTTTTTAAAAGTTGTAAATTTGTCAAAATAATGTCTTCTAACAACTAATATTTTAAGAACAAATGCCTCGTAATATTTTTAGAAAACTTTGTTTCTTAGAGAAAATTTCGAAAATTATACATATTATGTAATAATTCTTCTTATCGTTTAGTTACATATCTTTGAATTATTTTCAAATGTCAACCTTTTAATTAAAATAGCAGAAAAGTATTATCAAACTTGAAATTAATAAAAAAATTAAACTTTGAGACAGTTTATCATCTTTTAAGAAATTTAATTTCAGAAAATTTTCAAATGTACTTCTGTCACAAATTGTCTGTTTCTATAAAAGAAAAAAAATAAGTCTGATATTCAAATTAATGATTTACTCGAAATTAATCAAAATATTATTTTAACGTATATTTGCATATACATATATATATAATACGCATTTCTTTTCTTTCCTTTTCTCGTTTTTTTCCTTTTTTTTAATGTTCCATTTTTAGTTGCTTGCTAATATCGCATGTGGCCTTGAATGCGTATAGCACAGAACTAAGCAAAAATTGTTATTTATTTCTGCGCAGTTCACAATTGATCTTTTGTTCTTTCTTTCGTGTGCATTTCACTCGCTTTCGCGATACGAACATCTAAATTAAAAATCTACATTCAAAAATTTTACTGCATTTTTAGTTGTTTACTCACGCAGAAAATTTGCTTGTCAAATCACTGAGAGATGAAAATCTCTAGCCTCTCCATTTTAACAATACAAAAAATAATTATTTCACAAATCTCACATTTTTCATCATTTAATTATCGGTTCATTCGTCGTTTTTCATATTGATTGAAATAGAATACGTTAACTATTTGAGAAATATGATATCATAACAAAAATATTGAAATATTATTTTTTTATTCATCTGTGTTCTCGATTATAATTATAAAAAATTATTTAAAAAACGAATCTTTTATCAAACTTGCAGACGGATTTATTTTTATCTAAATTTTGCTCTTAATCCATTTGCGTAATTACAAAAATTTATTATAAATAATTATTAACTTTTCATTAAAATAAAGTTCTTTAAAAGAATTTGACTGTTTCTTAAGTCTATAGTTCGTGTGTTTCAGTGTTATAGATTAAATTAAATTTTACGAAAGCCTTGTTGTTTTTATTAAATAACTTTATAATACGCCTTGCTTGTAGGATTTTCTGTAGTGAAAACGATCGATCTAAGATTCAGCGAGAAATTTCTTCGTTAATGGTTATGCCAAAGTTACTCTGGCATAACAATGAGAAAATGCATGTGAATTTGATAGTTATTATCTGATTATCAAATTGCACGCTGTCTATACTTCTTATTTTGTCTTTGAAACAAGATTCACCATTTTAATTATCTCATTCTTTGAAGACTTCGTTCTGAATCTGCGGAAAGCAGACAAGCAGTAATCGACGGTATAATCTTGAAATCTTACAATTAATGAATCTCAAAGTATATACTACTGGTATTAACGATAAATTCCACTAAATATAAATGACATTCTCCAAACAAAATGAGTAAAAATTGACATTTTGCTCCTAAATGCGCAGGATTTTTAATTAAGTTTATGAATAGCTTTTCATCTATTTTTTTAACTTATATTTAAATATAGTTTTGCTATGATAACTTGGCTAAAAAAGTAAGACATTAAAATAAACAAATATGTATTTTAAAAAATATAAAAAACACATTTATATGTTCTGATCAAAATTTTAATATATAATGTTACTCTTTTTTACAAAAAATTTCAAATATCATAAATCTATTTATATGTATTTTGATCGATAAATAATATCACAAATAAAAAGCTATTTTTAACACTCAAACGTCAATTATTGTAAAATTAACGACTTCAATTTGTGCAACATTGCCTTTAACATAAAAAAATCTTTAAAAGTATCTTATATGTTTAAAATAATTTTTAGTTGTAAACTAGAATAATTTTCATTTTAATTAAGAGATTTAATTAAGTTATAATTCATATTAAGGTTTTTATTATAAAAAATATCATTGATTGCTTTACTTTCTATTATATAATTCAAATTTTATAAAACATCCTGTTGATCTCTATGGAAATTGATAAACTTATACAATCTTGAAAGCATCATGCAATTAATACCGTGAAAAGATCAAATATCTAATTATATAAAATACTATAATAATAATTTAGTGAGAGATAGACATTATGTACCGCGATAATAATATGAATAATTTGTAATTGGCTGTGTAGGCGTTATAAACATATTTTTTAAGATCTATATATAAATAATAAATTCTCTATAATTAAAAGTGTATAAATTAAAAGTGTAATAAAATAGTCATAAGATGCAAAATTCTGTTAATGTAAAGTATTTAACTTTTTAGATACATACTTTGAATCTTCCGTATTTTCTTCCTCCTTTTAGCTCTAAAGTTAAAAGGAGAAAGAAAATACGAAACTAACAGCTTTGACTCTACATTTCTGTAGTTACTATTTACATTTAAAAGTAGATGTTTAGATTTTTATTATATTTCACATAATAAAATATTTAATTCAATCTTTCTTTAATTTTAATATGTGAAACCTGGCATTAAAAACAGGTTAATACTTAAAAAGACTGACTTGTATTGTCATTCTTGCTTTAATCATTACTTATCATGAGATTGCATAAATGTTTATTTACTCTGAGCTTATATTTATTTTTACAAGATGAATGTAAATCGATAAACAAACATTTTGTTGATAATATAAATGAAAATGTATCAAACAAAAATCTCGATTCTATTGAAGCTGGTTACTTTTCTTATAAGCATATTTGTTCAAATTCATTTTGCATGTTTTCATTTAAATGAATTTATACTATAAATAAAAAATATTATACTTGTGCGTGCACATGTACACACATGTACACACACGCACACACGCACACACGCACACACGCACACACACACGCACGCACACACACACACACACACACACACACACACCATGCATGTAATATTTTTAAATAGTTCTTTGATGATTTTTTCAATTTTTGAATAATGGCAAATGTTAAGAAAATATTAAGGATAAGAACTGATAAAAAATTCTTGCAATCACGACGCGACGGTGACTTGCAGTACTTGTTTTTTTGATCACGTTAATGAACAAAGTAGTAGTTGCATAAGATAGTTAAATTACTTTCATCGCGGTAATAGTTAAATCAACGAGCATTAAAAAATCTCACGTAGGCACGAGCGTTAATAACTTTCGGAACAAACCTCTTGAGATTTTCTTGCTTCTCGCGTCGTCTCGTCGAGCTAAACTATTCGCTGTTTCTTATACGAAATAGCTTGTGCTCGTGATAAGTATAGTAACGAGCATCTAGTTTGTCATGTAGCGATAAATCAAGCATCCTCTGAGAAACTCATTAATTGTTTTTTTTTCTCTTTCTT